CTCACCTTTGCCACACTGCTGGAAATACCGTATGCGAAAACCTATAAAAAAGTGCTTTTGGATTCAAAAAAACTATGTCGGCAAAAAATGCCGCCTGCTCTATGAGGAAATGCCCACTGTGCCACAGTGCGCAATTTTGGCTAGGCATGCGGACATCAACTCTAGAAGTAGACAAAAACTATTTAAACCAGTTTCCCATAGGTTTTCGATGGTGCTCCTCTCAGTGGCATGGTTCTTGAGTAACGAAAATGTTTTCTAGAGGGTTTTCCAGAGATCCGGTCTCTGAAAAACCCTCTTGAAAACTGTTTCATTACTCGAAATCATTCCGTTGGAAAGACCATCGTGGGAAACCTATAGAAAACATGCTTGAAAGCGTTTCGTTTATTTTATCCTGAAATTGAAATTTTAAGCAGAAAATTGTTTGTCTGAATCCCAAAATCGAGGAAAATTGTAGAATTGAAAAGTTAGCGACCAAAACCAGATGAGTTATATATCATTCGACACAGCTTTTGTGCTGATTCCGAATATGTTATTAGTTTTTGTTTTCAATATTTTTAAGCAGGAGAAATCCTAAAATACCTTAAAAACCAAGGATTTTTTGGAAAACCTATAACTCCCGCTAGGAACATTTGTGCTGTTTTATGCTAACTGAATGCATTGGATGGCGAAGACCATTCCCTGAAAGTTTCGTTTAATTTGGACTTGCGCTAAAGTGCGCGCACTCACTATGCTGAAGACACCTTTGAGAAACGCTTAGTTAAGAAAGAACGGTAACTGCTTTAGTTTGGAAGGACTTTCAGATAAATCATTTTTTAGTAATCGATATAGACTTTGCCGCAGTTTCAGGATATGTCTTTGTTTTTTTAAACGGTTGATCAGATTTTGTGCATAATCCAGTTTTCCAATAGTATCATTGTTTTCGGTATGATTTTGCTCGGCAATTTACTGACTAAGTTTCGCACTTAGAAAAAAACTGTCAGTGGCTAAAAGATAGAGCGTTTGTCTAAGTATATGACGCGCTATTCAAACCTTGAAAAATCCCACTTTCATTTTTTCCCTAATGTCTGCTTGGTTGCACACTGTGGCCTCGACGATGCATTATTCACGATATGACTCATCCAGCAACGTGGTTAATCGATGAATCATCGAAAAACGCGTTTTCAGCTGCGGAACGGAAGTAAACACGTTTTTTTAACCAACACGGTTAAGGTTCACAACCGCGTTTTCTACTGTGATATGCTACGGTTCTAGATCTCTCATCGGTGTTTTCATAAAATTTCACTTACATTAGGTATTAATTGTTCAAGTACCTGAAAGTATTTGCCAGATACTTAATTCACTTGTTCAATGATCTCTCACAGGTACTGTGTATCCCTTGAGTAAGTACTCATATGCAAGTAGATTCACTAGGATTATATTGTCTTATAAGTCAAGTAATCTTTCTCTCTCATTTCTATTCATGTTTCTGTATTGAGTCAGCTCGCATGATTCCAGACAAAGATAAGGAGAATCACAGTTAAATCATTTTTTCAGGAGAATAGAACACTTTTTTTATTACTGTTCATACTAAATTGAAAAGTAATTCAAGAAACCATAGGCAAATGTCTATCGTCTAGACAAAGGAAAAGATAGGTATAATATTTTCATTTTATTTTCTATAGACATAAACCGAAAAATAGGAGTTTTGACAGTCGTTTTTCGAGTTTTCTTTACTTCTTCAAAACATACTAAAGTACTAAATGTTTCACGTTTATGTCTATGTGCTACTAAACTTTTGCGAGAAACATCAAGATTCAGATCTATTCTGATTATAGCAGAAAATTATAAGAAAAATGTTTTCAAAAACGTTTTTTTGACTTAAATCATACAATAGTACCATAACTTATTCAGATTAGTAGAGCATAAGATTAGTCGTAGCTTAGATTACTTACTAGATAAGTTTACCTACATTGATGATGATATATGTATTATAGTATGAGTTGTCAGAATGCTGATTTTGATTGGCAGTACAAGACAGTACCACAAAGTGATTCACATTACGCTTCTGTAAATCAACAGAGTAATTGGCCAAGAGGAAAAGTTCTTGGTGGTTGTAGTAGTATCAATGGCATGCTATACGTACGTTGTAATAAAACCGATTATGATCAATGGTCATCTCAATATGGTTGTACGGGATGGAGTTATAGTGATATGCTGCCTTATTTTATTAAATTAGAACGTGCTCATCATAGTATACCAAAGTCTTCATATCGTAATCATAGTGAGCAAGGTATGATGGATGTAACAAGACTTGAATATTTTTCACCATTAACATCACTATTTATTGAATCATGTATTAATAATGGTATTCAATATAATGACGATTATAATGGTGAAACTATGAATGGTGTTAGTCTATCACAAGTAACGATACAAAATGGAAAACGTTGGAGTGTTGCTTCTGGTTACTTATTACCCGCAATTAAACGTGAAAATTTACATATTCTTATACATGCACACGTATGTCGGGTGACATTTGATAAAAGCAAAAATGCTACAGGTGTTATTATTATTACAGAAAAAAACAAAGAGGAACAATATATCAGAATTAAACCTGATATTGGTGAGGTGATCCTATCAGCTGGTACGGTGGGTAGTCCACATATATTATTACTATCTGGGATTGGCCCTAAAGAACAATTAGAAAAATTCAATATTTCTGTAACTGTTGATCTTCCAGGAGTTGGTAAAAATTTACAAGATCACATGATGACACCAATGTATTACCTGTGTAGAATACCAACATTATCTAGAGCTGATTTAACCGAAGCAAACTTAACACAATGGTCTACAGAAGGACGGGGAATATTATCAGATTGTGGTCTGGAAGCTTTGGCATGGTTAAGGATGAATAGCGGACTCGAATCAAGTAAGTGTCATTCGAACCACTGAATTCCACAAGAAATGTATAAAGTTTTTCAGTGCTTTCATTAGGATCGTACGCGAGCTCTGGGTTAGAAAGTTTTCAGTTTTCGGCTAGATATGATCGCTACATCACAAACTTTAAGAGAGCGTGCACCGCAGCACGAAGAAAGCTCATAACATGGCAAAATCTGATCTACACTTTTGATTACATATTCTGAATCTGTGCGAAAACATCGAGGTTATGAAAAAATTTTGAGCGAGTTTTGACGAAAAATGAAAGTGGCAGGCGTATTTTAAAGTGAAGAGCTCGAAAAAACCTTGAAAAAGAGACCTTTTGAATGTTTCACTTATAATTCCGCCATTTGTTGTTCGTTCTGTTCGAGCAACGCCCCATCAGAAAGTGCGCATGACACTATCAATAACTGTGTTTTGACAATTCTTTCAACGCAGAATAGATATTTTATAAGACAATCACTTGGAAAATGACAACTTTCCAAAACACAATATTTTGAAGCCATTTATGAATTATCAAAGCATTTGAAAGTCAAATCTTGTAGAGCAAAGAATTCTCTACAAGACAGACTATATTTCAAATTTTGAAAATGTGTGCGTCAAGTCGAAATTCTCAACAACACATACGAGTAAAAATCTCAACTTTAAATTTTTTTGCACTTTTCTCCGGCAAAACTCACTCTCAGCGAAAAATCAAAGTGATATTTAGAATCAGCATCAAAAACTGCATCTAAAACTGGCCTTTGAAAAATATTCCGGCCGCTTTAGGTCTTCACCTTCGGTCATCAAGGTAGTGTTTTAGCGTTATTTTCGATTTTTCTCACTTTTTTCCTGTTTTTTTTTCGCACTTTCTATTCTTCTAAATTTCCTTTTTATAAAAATTAGTGATGAACAACCGAAAAGACAACAAATCACAAAAACTTGAAAACTTTCACCGTCACCATATATAACTCAAACACAGACTTATACTCAATATTGAGGAGACAACGAACATTTTAATTAGAAAGTTTAATGGTTTTAGTTGGATGTAGACCTGCTTTTCTAAGAGTATTGGTAGGGAATATAGCAGTGCCGACGATGCTAGTAATTGGATTCTACTGTGCTTCTTCAATATCAGATGCTCTCAAAAAAGGGAAACCGGTTTCAACTACAAATCTTTCTAATATATAATTTTGATTTCTAAGCCAATTTTGAAAATACTTTTGTTTATCTAAGTCTTCGTTAAAGAGTGAAGAACTATTGAGTGAAAGAAATGCATTTTTAAATTTCTGTGATAATTGGACAAGACTGTTAAATCGGATAAACTAGTTGTACAGTGCCACCGGATAAAATGACCGCCGTCGAGGTATTTCTCTAAAATTTCCAGCATCGGCTGGAAAGCGGTTGCGTCACATACGTGCAAAACTAAAAGTAGATTCTGTTCATTAGCTAGTTTAACTTGTACTTCAAATACATAGATTTGTTGTTGTAGAGAAAATTCACTCGTATCGTCTAAGCCTGCTTCACCGTAGGCAACAATTTTATTTTCAGCTCTATTTTATTTTTACTCTCGTATTTTTTTCGTTTGTACATATGCATTTTTCAGAAATTTCGTTTTCATTTGTAAATACATTAAAAAAAAATCACAAAAAAACCTTTTCAACGAAGGTGGCCTTCACGTAGGCAAAGAGGGATCAACGCTTTTTGGTGTCTAAAGCACTGCGCCATTGACATTTTTGTTCTCAGATGATAAGTGGTTTTAAAAAGTGTTAAAGAGCGGCCAATTGCCCTTCTGTACAAAAGTGCAACAGAAATACTTGATTGGTACAATATATTACATACTGTATCTTCTTAAATTTGTGCTACTCTTCCGTTTCCGCTCGGACTTCTCTTCTTACAGACGCTCAGTGACTTGATCAGCAACAACTAATAAAAAGTCAACGGTTAAGGGGTGGTGGTGGGCACTGGTGACATCAAAACTTATTCCTCACTACCTTTACTAGTAAAAAATCGATTTTTAGTGAACTAACGAGGAAAGGATATCAACTGTCTAATGGCTTTTAGGCAATGACTTACTGAAAAATAGGTAATCAGATGTGCTGAATCCGAATATGATTATTGTTTTTGCTGCTAGGCTTTGAAAGACTGAATTAAATATCAGTTTGTAGCTCATTAGAATGCGTTTTGGGTACTTAGTACTTGTGGAAAAGCGAAGCACGTGGCTATTTTCCTTCAGAAAATGGAAGTCTTTATTCATCTACAATGTCTCTAAGTAACGTAGATACTGGCTCATTTTATGATGCTGATTCTAAACACCTTGGTTTTGAATTTTGAGCAAGTTTAGAGGAAGAAAAACGCAAAAAACTGAAATTTGATGTTTTGCCTGTACAGGCTATTTCGAAAATTTCGATATGACGCACACACTTTTAAAACTTAAAATATAGCCTATCTTGTAGAAAATTCTTTGCTCTACAAGATTCTACTGCCAATTTTTTTGACAATTCACAGACGGTTTCAAAAAACGAGAAAAACTCAAAACAAAACGTTTTCTGAAATCCACCATTTTTCAAGTGATCGCATTCTTAACAATGCAGTTTATGCCGAAAAAAATCTGAACCACCTATAGAATCAGTTTCAACTACTCTTTCTAATGAGGTGTTGCTCAAAAATTTTGAACGAAAAATAACAGAGATATAGGTGAAACGTTCAAAAAGTCTCTTTTTTGCGCTCTTTCGGACGTCTTCACGTTGAAATGGCTTCCTCATTTTTCGCCCAAACTCACTCAAAATTTTTTCGTAACCTCAATTTCTCTCACAGATTCAGAATATCTAATAAAAAGTGTAGATTAGCTTTTGTCATGTTATGAACTTTTGAGCTGTTACTCGGTTTTCACGTGCACGGTCTCTTAATATACCATGTATTAAGGCCCACCCCCCACTCAAAAAAAAGGTTATTTTGGTGAAATTTATCGATTTTTTTTAAAATAGCGTATTTGATAGAGCATCACGTCCGCTATCGAATGCACTATAGTTTCTTAATTTTACGA